AATTAAAATTAAAATTTTTGTCAAATAATCATCTTGGGATTACAAATTACAGCTTTCACCAAAACTCACACTACCAACCAACCATCATCATTCATCACCACCAAAAAAGAAAAAAAATCAGAGAAAAGGAAGGACACTCACAGGAGGAGAAATGGGATTTTGGTGGGGATTTTCCGGTGAGGGGAAATGGGCTTTTCTGCTTTGAAGTAGTTAGGGAGAAAGACGGCCGGTGACTGAGATGCTTTGGTGTTTCCGATTTGTTTTGGACGAAGGTGGGCAAGAAGGGAGGTTGGCTGCTTCAGAGACAAAGAAAGAAAGGAAGACAGGGGAAATGGGTTTTCTGCTTGGAAGTAGTTAGGGAGAAAGAAGGCCGGTGGGTGAGAGGCTTTTATGTGTCTGATCTGCTTTGGAAGAAGGTGGGCAAGAAGGAGGTAGAACAGGGCATCGTCGGCTGCTTCAGAGAACAAGAAAGGAAGAAACACGGGAAACAAAGAGGAGGTTATAAAATGGGCCTTTATATAGTGGGTTTTTTGTAAATAAAAAGAAATGTAAGGACAAAATGGGGATGTCAAGTCAATTTCATTAAAGGTTAGGCGAGAAGCTCCCGCGGAAGTAAAGAATTGGGAGCTTCCGGCTTTGCAAAGGAAAAGTGAGAAGCTCAACTTCTCAAAAGCTGGAGCAACTTTAGGAAGCTACCCCGTTTGGTGTGGCTTGTGCTTTTAGAGCCAAAAAGCTCTTCCCACAATCCACACCAAACAGGCACTTAGTTTTGTCACACTGGTCCTAACTTCCAAACCCACCTGAAATTTCCCAAAAAAGTAAGTAAATAATAACAATATTATTAACTACTACTACTCGCTCTAAGTTAATTTTTAGTCTTTGACTCAGTGGCAAAGCAAGCAGAAACTTGCCAACCAAATAACAGTCTGCCTATATCTTCTAAATATACCCCATAACACCACTTCCTGCTTCAATAACTACTCCCTCTTAGTTGACTTTGACTCATTAGAAAAGCTAGCACAAACTTGCTAACCAAGTAACACCTCTGCTTATGCCTTTTAAATGTCCCATGACAACAATTTTCTGTTTCATTAGACCTTCATCTCAAACTCACTCATAGTTACTGCTTTGATAGATTGAAGGAAAAAAATGCTATACGGATTGGAGAAATTAAGAACTCACTACTCTGCTTTGGATTGCTTAAAAAACAAAAGTTTCAATTTTCTGAACTTAGATCATACTATGTTTCATGTAGTGTGGTCCAAATTGTAAAATAAAAATTTGTAGATGAAAGATTCGAAAAGCAAGAACCATTAGATAAAAATAGATCCCTTTATACCAATCATTTATGTTGTGCAAATCAGGCTGCATAACCATTTTTTTAATTATACATAAATATTTTTGAGTTTTCTATTTTGTAGGAGGAAAACAAGAACCATTAGATAATAAGACAATTTCCAATATCATAAAACTTGACCTTATCTAATGATTTATGTTATACAATTTAGATGACACAAATATATATATATATTATGAGATTAGTGCATATTAATTTTGATTTCAACAAAATTAAAATCATAACCTATATTTAAAAATTAAAATTTCAATTCAAAATTTAAAATTTTAGTTAGTTTATAAATTTAAATATCAATATTTAATGAGATAATTTTTAAAATTTTAAATTAAATTTTAATTAAATAAAATGATGTAATTTAATATTAAGAATCTTTTTTTTTTTTTTGAATTATGACTATATCCATTTTTCTCTTTTATCATTTGCAACAAAATTCCACAACTTGTTTCAAGCCCAATAGAAGTTTTTGGGTCGAACTCCATTATGAGATCTGGACCAGATCTAAGTGGTGCTAAGAGTAACGACCCAAGGTTTATGAGCCCAAAAGTGTAATCTGCCAAGTACTGAATTAGATTTTTTTTTTTTTTTATGGAGATTAGGATTGAACCTTTTTTTTTTTTTTAACGATATGTTGTATATAGAGACAATTTTTTATTTTTTAATTTATATTATTTATATATATATACCATCTAAATTCAAAAACTTTTATTAATAATAAAAAAATTATCATTAAATTATTTAAATGATTAGTATATTATGATTAAACCTTAGACCACCGAGTAAGAGCAGTTCAGGTCTACCGCCGTTAACCGATGGTGCCAACTACTCGATTGTAGGGAAGTTCATTTCTAATTTAATACTATTGATTCAATTGAAATTGATCTAATTTAATAAAAGATCAAACCAATTTGAAATAAAATTAAGTTGGATTAGATTATAAAATTTTAGAATTTATATAAATGGTCTGATTTATTATCTTATTGTTAAATTATTTGAATTGTTCATTTATAAAATAAAATTTGATTATAAAATATATATCTTCTATAATATTTTAAATTTTATTTTTCTTATTTTGCAATATAATAACTTTATTAACTTAATAAAAAAATAAAAATAAAACATTCTTATTTTTTTAAAATTTATTTTTTATTTTTAATTATGCACTTTAACCTTAATTTTAAATTTCTAATTCATCTATAACTCTACCTTTCAGAACTTGCTTACAACTCTTACTTTTAAAACTGTTAATTTTTAATTTATTTTTAAACTAATATTTTGATTTTTTTTAACTAACTTTTAAAGAAATATTATTATAAAAATCTGAAATCTAAAGGTTAAATGCTTAATTTGGTCCCTCAACTTTAATAAATGAACATTTTTGGTTCATCAACAATTTTTTACACTTTTTTGATCCCTCAACTATACGAAATGCACTCCGTTAGTCCTTCTGTTAATTGAGCCGTTAACCATGCTTAGGTGGCATTTTTTATATTTTTTTTGATGATGTGGAGAGCAAAACTTAAAAAAGTGATGACATACATAAAACTTTTGCCATATCACATGTTACCTGGTAAAAACGCACCAAATCCATCCAAATGGGTCCCACATCACCACTAACAATTGCTCCTTTGGCCATCTGTTACTGTTTCTATTCTTTTCGGTGTTTTTTCTATTTTCAAGATTGAAATTCGACAGGGTATTATTTCCATTTTTAAGATTGAAGTTCGACAAGGTGTTCTTTCCATTTTCAAGATTGAAGTTCGACAGAACCCAGCTCGATTCATTTCTTTCCATTTTCAAGATTGAAGTTCGACAGAACCCAGCTCGATTCATTTTTTTCCATTTTCAAAATTGAAGTTCGACAGAACCCAGTTCGATTCA